GTAACTCAAGATTGAAAAAATACCCTCTTAATTTAATAACTAAGAAACCACTCATCTCAAGAGCATGAGCAATCAAATGACAGACTATATGCCAAATTTTATTAAGCTTATTCTGAAATGGACGTAGAGATTGCCAATATGAGGTACACATTCAAAAATGCAGAAAGGGAAGGGGGCGGACAGTAAAGGAATGGGAATACCCCAGTGTGCAAAGACACATTCAAGCCTGGAAGGGTTCTGACAAACAGGAGAAAGAAGCAGAAAGTGAAGACGATATAAGTGAAGACAACAGGGTAAGGATGGGATGTGGCTGAGAGCTTAGAGGGGCTAGGCAGGAGGCAAATCCATCCACTGAGACAGAAAGAGAACAGAAGCATGCATGCAGGGATGCATGCCCAGTGTTTTTAATTTTCTCTTTAAAATTAGAGTTAAGTTGCCTAAGAATGAGCAAAGAGAAAATAGAACAGGAAATGGAGGAATTAATGAATATTTTAAAATAAATTTGGTGGAAAATGAAAGAGAAATCTGACTACAGATTTAGTGCATTATTTCCTTCAGGATGAAGGTTGGGAAGTGGACAGTCAACACAAGTGATATCCTGCCTGAGCCCTCATCCCTTCATTCTCTTGTGTGTTCCCTCTTTCACAAACACAATGTGTCAAGTACCTTCTATGTGATGGGCCTTAGGGACAACATGAGCAAAACAAAGTTTTATGACATAAGAGAAGAAACCAACAGAACAAAGTGACTTTTATACAGGAGTTCACAGCCATGGAGAAAATATAGAAAGATTGCCTAACTCAAAATTGAAGGGACAGAGAAGACTTCCTCTGAGAAATAACAACATTTGAGACCTGAAGAAATGGTAGTTGCCTTGGAAAGAAGTCAGTGTGCCCAGAGGGAATGACATGCAAAAAACCCTCCAAGGAACCTTGAAACAGAAAGAACAAGTCATTTCAGAAGACCTGCAAGTTCCACATGCTAACTGTAGAGTAAGGCAAGGCTGGAGATGTTTGCAGATGGGGCCAAACTCATGTACAGCTGGTAAGAATAGTGGACTTGACCCTAAAAGCAATAGTAATCTGCACTTGTAAAAGAACACTCTGGCAATGGTGTGTCAAAAACCTTAGAAACAGGCAAGAGTAGGTACAAGGGGAACAGCGAGGGGCTAGTAAGGATCCAGGTGAGAAAATGGATGGTAGTGTGGATGAGCATAGTGACAGTGAAGTCAGACAGAAGAAAGTGAACATGTTAAGAGATCTGAGGTGCAAAACCACCTAAAATACATAAGCCAGATGGGGGGAATGAGGATAAGAAGTGGAGTGTGATGTCCAAATTCCTAGTTTGGGAAACTAGACGGATAGTGAGTGATACCAATTACTAAGAAGAAACAGGTTTGGTAGGAAAGCTTTTTTTTTAAATTTAATTTTTTTTGTTTGTTTGTTTAAGTTTGTTGAGTTTGAGGCACCTGTGAAGCACCCAAGGAGACATTAAGCAACTGAAGTTATGATCAGGTCAGAAGCTCAGAAAAGAGCTTTATGGAGACAAAAGTTAGGGAGTCAGAGGCAAGGGGGAAATAGTGTTTCAAGAATAGCCAATAGTGTCTAAAAAGGATGAGAAATAAAACTGGTGAAAATAATTCTAATGAAGACTGAATAGGATGTATCATGAGTCGGAAGTAAATAAAAAGTTCAGCTATGATGAGAGGAAGGAAGTGGGAGATGGAAAAGGCCAGACAGGACAGGTGAAAAATGGAGTTAAGAAGTGCATGTGATGTGTTGGATCGAGGAATCTAGAAGAGTAAAAAAGTGAAAAGTAGGGAAAAGTGATTGGAAAGAAACCAGGAAGGCCACAAAGTTTTGATAACACTGAAGAATGGGAGTAAGAGAATGAGAAAACTGGAGTAATAGAGGCTATAATGGGACTAGGATGCCAAAGTTTCATATTTCAGAAGTGAAATGGGAGTAAGTTATGTTCAGGTTTAGCATTCAACCATTGCCAGGTAGGGAATGTGAAAGAGGGCACAGCAGTGGTCAAAGTTCCAGGAATAGAGAAAGATGGATTTGACAATTTCTTGGCTATGATATCAAAGCACAAGCAAAAAAAAAAAAAAAAAAAGCAACAATAGCAAAATTAGACAATGGCACTATATCAAGCTTTAAAACTTCTTCTATGCACCAAAGAACAAAGTCAGCACACTGAAACAAAGATACACAGAAAGGTAACAAAGGGCTGGGATGTAGGTCAGGGGTACAGCAACTGCCTAGTATGGACAAAACCCTAGATTCGATCCTCAGTACTGCCAATTAAAAAAAAAAAATGCTCAAAGCAGTAAAAAACATTTGCAAATTCTGTATCTCCTAAGGAGTTAATATCCAGGAAATGTAAAGAATTTCTATAGTTCAAAATAAATAAATAGCCTAACTAAAAAGAGGGCAAAGGACTTGAACAGACATTTCTCCAAAGATGACATAGAAATGGCTGAAAGATATATGAAAAAGTATTTCATATCATTAATCAATAGACAAAAGCAAATCAAAACCACAATGACATATCATCTCACTACCATTAGGATGGCATTACTATTTAAAAAAACAAAATAGCATGTTAGTGAGGATGGAGAGCGAGAAATTAGAACCCTTGTGCGCTGTTGGTAGAACTGTAAAATAATGCTGCTGCTATGGGAAACAGTAGAAAGGTTCCTTAAAAAATTAAAAATAGAATCACCATATGATCCAGCAATCCCACTTCTGGGTATGTATCTGAAAGAATGGCAAGCAGAATCTTAAAGAGCTATCTGTTCACCCAAGTTCACTGCAGTATGATTCATAGTAGGCAAGAGAGAGAGAAGGAAACCAAATGTCCAATGACAAATACATGGATAAAGAAAATGTAGTAAATATATGCAATAGAATATTAACTAGTCAGCTTTTAAGAAGAAGGAAATCGTGCCATGTTATAAAATGGATGAACCTTGGGAACATTTTGCTAAGTAAAATAGGCCAGTCATAAAAAAAATTACAATTCCACACTTACAAGAGACCTAAAGTAATCAAATTCATAGAAACAGAAAGCAGAATGGTGGCTCCAGGAGCTGCAGGGAGGGGAGGAATGAAGAATTGATGTTCAGTGAGTATTGAGTATCAGTTTTATAAAACAAAGAAGTTCTAGGAATCCTAGCAATATGAATATACTTAACACTAAGAACCTGTACATTCACAAATGGTTAATGTGGTCAAGTTTATGTTTTTCACAAGTTAAAAATAAGTGGAGGGCTGGGGTAGTGGCTCAGTGGCAAAGCGCTTGCCTAGCATGCATCAGGCACTGGGTTCGATCCCCAAAACCACATAATAAATAAATAAACAAGGAAAGAAAGAAAGAAAGGTATTGTATCCATCTACAACTAAAAAATATTAAAATAAATATAAATAAATAGATGGAGCTAAACAGTATCAAAGCAGGCAGAAGAAAAGTTTGAGATAAAGAAACACAAAAGGACAACAGGGGTTTTGCATTTGGGGTGGCAACCTTGAACGTCAAAGGTGGAGACAGAGCAAAATGACTGGCTCCTACCACAGCGAATTCAAGCTATTTCAGAACCAATTTAGAGTGAGGCCTCTTCTGGTGCCAGAGACCTAATCGCCCTTTTCAAAGTCTCAAGACTCTAAGGGCAAAAAAATATTACAGTACCTCCGAAGACATCCTGAACAGGGGTCACAGCTACTCAAATTTCACCTAGTCAAGGAAGCAGCAGTAACTCCCAGTGAGTGGAACCATCCTCTGACCAAGCTGATCCTGGTCTAGCTCTGAGTTCCTGCAAAGGAGGTAAAGGAGCCTCTCCTTGAGGGCTCATGTTAGTTAAAAAAAGAAGGAGAAGCCAAATACTACATGTATCATATTTTATTTATTAAAAAATCTATGCTGTCCTTGTCTTTTCTGATATTACTGTCTTTTCTGATATAAGTTTCTGAGGTCTGCTTATTTCATTAGATGCTAACTAATGAAATTTAAATGCTTAGTCTTGATAATACTTAGAAAAGAAAATGCTCCAACTTATACAGTTGCAGAACAGAAGATACCATGCTGCATCATAAAGTCATTTCTGACAGTGGTAAATTAAAAACAATCACAAAAGTATCCATGTGACTCTCTTCCAATGAGGAAACCTACAATACAAAGCACAGCCATTCTGTTTTCTGTTTTACATAGATTCAGTGTTGCTATAGACTTAAGATGTAGCACTTAATTCGCAAAAGACTGCGACCCATTGGCTGCTTAATAGTTTCTATTATTTTTATATAAAAAAAATAAAAATTCTCTGTTGATTTAAATCTTAATTCCATACTAAAATGGAAAAGGAGCTCCAGCACATTCTTCTCCCTCCAAGGCTAATAAATATACATAATTGCACTGAATTCCTTATTCAAACAAAAGGCTTGAAAGTTTTTGTTTCATTGAAATTGACCTAGGTTAATGGGATAGATGGAGATGGTCAGAGGGAATGGAAGAAACAGCTGGTAAGTGTCTAGCAACCAGAGTGATGGCAGATCAAGAGATCATACTAAGAAAGAGCAGGAACAAAATTCCAAGGAGATATTTTTCACAAGTTAAAAATAAGTGGAGGGCTGGGGTAGGGACACATTATATGTGTCCTAATTCCTGTCTGAACTTGAAAGAGGACTTTACTTTTTGTGTAATAGGCCTCAATTTCTTCAACTACAAATAAAATGAATAAAAACAGCTTCACTTCCAATCTCATTAGAATAATCCATATCTATTGAAGTATGAGTGTAATGCTCCATATAATTTTAATTGTATAAAACTGGATACAATAAGAAATCTTTGTCTTGGCTTTTGGCTTGAATGAGTTTTTTTGTTTGATTGTTTTTACATCACAGTATTTTAGAGGGAAAAGAACTGCTGGGTAAAACTTCAACCTGAGGCTCTTTAAGGCTGTTTTGTGGTTGGAGAGCAGGTGGGGTGGGACTGTTGATATTTACCAGTGTTTCCCGTAGAGCCAGTGGCCTCCCCATGTCAGCAGGCAGAGCCCAGCTGTGGTTTTCTTCCAATGATTTCGGAGTGTTTTAAAGAAGACAGTCATCTTCTCCTGGAGATCTGCTAGATGAATAGAAACAGGAAAATAAAAATGTAAGTATCAAAGTAATCATGTAGCATCTGATTGCTCCTCTCCATTCCTTCACCCTCTCTCTTCTTCCTCTTCCCCTGCTGGGTTTCCTCCTTATCACTTCTGCTCTGCCTCTTCTCATCTTTTCCCTTCTAGTCTCATCATCACCATCTTCTCACTCACCAACAATTATTTTCTTCTTCCTTCACATCTTTCTACCTGAACTACATTCTTCTTTCTCAGATCACTAGTTCCTCATTGTAGGAGAAGGAAGGAGGAGGGTCATGAAGAAAGGAAGAGGATTACCAGACTTCTCCTGGCTTTTCTGCATTCTTTATATTTTTTTATAGTTGTACTTGGACATAATACCTTTATTTTATTCATTTATTTATTTTTATGTGGTGCTGAGGATTGAATCCAGGGCCTTGCATGTGCAAGGTGAGTACTCTACCACTGAGCCATAACCCCAGCCTCCTTTTCTGTCTTCTTACAGTCTCATTATATGACTGTTTAAGAGTGTTTGCCCATTAGACATAAAGAATTCAACAATATGTTAGTAAGAGTTTATTAAAAACAGAGGAGCACACCAGGCCTCCAATAGGAAAATAAGCAGAGAGGAAATGCACAGGGCTGTGAAGAAATGCCCAACTTACTCAGTAATCAAAGATGTGCAAATCACAAAGCAGTATCATTATTTATCTATAAAATTAATAAAAAATTTTAAATTATATTCACTGATGACAAAATACAGTTAGGTAGACATTCTCATATATTCCCATAAGGAAAGTTAAATAGCACAACTTTACTAAAATTCAAAGTGATAAATACAGCCATATTCTATTTGTTTTCTCCATGGCACTATCATTTGATGATACTTATGTTTATTTGCTAATTTGTTAATCAGTTTATCCCATTGAAATATAAACCCCGTGAGAGTAAGGACTTTGTTCTAGTTACTGAATTCTATGCCTTAAGTAAGATCTGGCACATAATGACTATTTAAGAAATATCTATTGAATAAGTCACATAATGGCTATTTAAGAAATATCTATTGAATAAGTCATGTGGTATCAAATATTCCTTTTTTACTGGGAATTTTTACAGATGTGGAAAAACTCAAAATATAACATAAGTAAAATTAACAGGATAAAAAACCAAATATAATTAGTATTATCCTACTATGTACAAATATGAACATAAACTGAAAAAAATATCAATACAAATAAATAAAAACAACTTTTTAAGTAATTTCCTCTATGTTGTGGGATGGTGGGTGATGCTTATTTTTAAAATTGTAATATATATGCTAAGTTTTCTTAAAATAAATGTAAATTATTTTCTACAGAGATTAAAAATTTATACAAAAAATTTTATTACTATGGATGAGTGAGGTAAATAGACCAGAGGAGGAAAAAACCACTTCCATTGAAAAGACCAGTTCTTTTATTATTCTCTATCTGCCTTTCATTAAAATTCCTCACAAGAAAAAATATCCTTACTGCATTCAGAAATGAAGGCAGCATAAGGGAGCCTGCCTTGCTATGAGTCCTGCACAACACCCAGGCTGCTGGAGAAAGGGCCCTGAAGGCCTACTGAGTGGTATGCTCCTTCCTCTCCATACTGCCCTACACCACTCCTTCACTTAAGAGGACTTTAATAAACAACATATGTGCCAGGCTCTGTACCAGGAGCTAGGGCAGAGAAAAGTCAGACCCATTCTCAAGTACCGACAACTAATAAGCCCATGATTCCTACACAATTATGGTTGCAATACAGTGGGATAAATGTTGAGGGGTGCGCAAGGCTCAGTGCGAGTCTACAAGAAGGGAGCTAACTGGAACTGGTTCTCACAAGGGAGCCATGCAGGGTCAGTAAAGTCTTTCCTGAGCCTAGAAGAATGAGGCATCGTCACCAAAATCAAGAGGGTGCTATGTGAATGCTATGATCTAAATGTTTGTGACCCTCTAAAAAGCCTGTACTGAAGTCCTAATCCCCAACAATATGCTATTAGGACATAGGGCCTTTGAGAGGTAACTAGGTCATGAGGGTGGCACCGAATGAATGAGATTAGTGAGCCCATAAGAAACGAGAGAGATCCCTCCACCCCATCATATTAGGATACAAGAAGAAGGCCCTCAGGAGGTACCTAAACATGCTAGCCACTTGGTTTCAGATTTCTAGCCTCCAGAAATGTGAGAAAATAAATTTGTTTATGCCACCCCAGTCTATGGTATTTTTGTTACAGCAGTCTGAATTATGACAGTGTATAAAAGTGAAAAGGCAGCAAGTTATGTTCAGAGAAACACAGGTAGATAGCATAGGGAAGAAGAAATTTCTTTTTCAGCCATTGCTAGTTTCATGCCTGAGATCCCTATAAGATAAAGAGAAAAGCAAACAAAATTATTTAATGTAACTTTTATGTGACACAGAAGCCTTCAGAAACAAGACCCAAATAGGGAGGCCCATATATTTTTATGCTAACTTTGATGAAGAGTAGATAGTTGTGCAGAAGTACAATTTGATAAAAGATAATGTTCTAATGGTAATGATAGGTGGAACATAGTGAGGCCTGTTTGTTCAGATTCTTCTGTGTCTCTGTGTCTTCAGAAATAAGAGAATTCTTTTCCTCTATGTATATGATGAACACATCTCGCAGGAGGGTCTAATAAAGAGGAAAATCAAAGAAGTCTTTCATGATCTGCTTCAGGGGAGAAGGGCAGGAGGTAGTCAGAGAATGACCTTCCTGCTTCTGCTGTTTCTTCAAATGCCAAGTGCCATATTATGGGGTGGTGTGTCTTGAGCCCCATCAAGAATCTGGTATGAATAAAGAACAGGGTAAACATGGTACAGCATCCTGAATAGAGATCTCAACTTTTAGTGTAGAGTCTGTTAAAATGCACAGAACTGTTAAAAACACCTATTCTTGAGCTTTACCTCCCTTCCCCGTGATCTTCATTTATTCTGAAATTTAGCCGACACCTTCATATTTTGTTTTGCATTGAACTCATGGGCACTCAACCAGGGAGCTACATTCCTAGCCCTATTTTGTATTTTATTTAGAGACAGGGTCTCAACTGAGTTGCTTAGTGCCTCACTTTTGCTGAGGTTGGCTTTGAACTTGGGTATCTCCTGTCTCAACCTTCGGAGAGGCTGGAATTACAGGTGCGCGCCACCACGCCCACTGTCACCTTTATTTTTAACAAGTATGCCCATAACTGTAAGGTCAACACCACACCGGACTTTGAGAAACAGTTGTTTAGAGAGAAAGGATGGTGGGAGTAGGGAGGGTTAGAAAAGACCTTGAATCCACACTAAGGACTCTGGAGTTGAAGACAATGAAAACAATTTCATGGAATTTAAGCAGGTGAGCGATATGATCATATTTCAACTATAGTCGCAGAATGTAAAACAGACTGGTAGACACTGAAATTAAAGCTAAACAGAGCCATTAAGAAGTTTTTGCCATAATCCCTAGGCACCTAAAGGAAGGGAGGCACAAAAAAGATGGCACAAGAATGGATTCAGAGGTTTTCAGAAAATATAAATTGATAGCACTTGGTGATCAACTGATTGTGGGAGGTGAGAGAGGACGAACCAAGCCAGTTTTTATGCTTAGGCAACTGGCTAGGTTTATGGAGAAAGGTAGTGTGCAGCTTAAGAGACACTGAAATTGACATGCCTGTGGAGCATCCAAGTGAAAATATGCAGTGGATGGGGCTGGGGTTGTGGCTCCTTGGTAGAGCACTTGCTTAGCATTGTGTGGGGCACTGGGATCAATTCTCAGCACCACAGATAAATAAACAACATAAAGGTCCATCAACAACTTAAAAAAAAAACATATATTTAGAAAAAGAAAATATCCAGTGGATGTCTAGAGATAGCAGCATGAAGCTAGGGGAAACTGGGCAAAAGATACAACAGATTTGGCATTCATCACTATGGAGGTCAAGTTTGAGAAGAGTAAAACCACCCAAGGGGAATACCAATAAATTAAAAAACAATCTAAGAGTCAGTAAGACTGTTTAAAGGTTATCCCTACCCCCCAATGGAATTCCCTTTTTGTCACAAATGAATTAATTTGTGTGTTATCCAAGTAATGTGAAAATATGCACCTATCCTAGGGTGGAAAGAGGCCTGGCTCATGGGCCTAAAACTAGATTCTTGTCCTGGCGTTGTCAGTTACTGGTGGTGAGAGCCTGGGTTAGTCATTTAACTTGTTTCCATTTCTTGACCAGTAAAATAAGAATACCTCATCTGCTCTGTTTACCTGGTTTAGCAGTGAAGACCACATGTGATAGGTGGAGACTGTCATTTGTAAGTTGGAATAAACTTTATCACAATATGCAACGCATTAGTTAACAATGCACAGACCTTTGTATTTAACTAGATTTGCCATTCCCTCATCTCCAAGTCTAAAATTTATACGTTCAAATTAACATGTTTTATCTTAAGAGCCCATTTTCCTCCCTAAAGAATTCCCAAGCCCTAACAGTATTCAACGCCCTTGACGTGACAGGTCGGGGTTGCTCAGGACACCTGGAACCCCTCCCGGGCAGGTCCTCTCCATCCGCAGCACCCAACCCCGCCGAGCGCCCGAATGAATGAAGCCATCCACCCCTTCACGGCTCGGACACCACTGGCCCCTTTTT